GAAATTTGATCAAAGCCCAATAGAGGTGCTTTTGTATGTGATTTATTTTTTTACCTTTGTAGCCTTCAGTATTGGGGGCGGGAGGGAAGGGGTATCACTGATGTTTGATAATTTAACAATGATGTGTTTTGGTGTGGATTTTGTGGTTTGAAATGTGGATCTTCTCTCAGCTTCCTGGACAGCTAAATAAGTTCTTTAGGGTTGGAAAATTCTCAGCTCTTATTTCTCTGAGTGTTGGTCTCTAGGTTTTCTTCTAAGGATTTTATTGAGTCTTATTTCTTTTCAGAGTTAAATTTAAAAAGACCTTAAATTTAGTTCTTTGATTTATTTTGAATACATTGTGAAGTATAGGAATCACACTTCAGTTCTTTGCTTGTGGATATATAGTTGTAGTGGCATTTTCTGTTGAAAATCTGTTCTTTCTCCCCATTAAATGGTCTTGACACTCTTGAGGGCCAGTGAGATAGTACAGATGTTAAGGTTCTTACCGTGCATCCTGCCAACCTCAGTTCAAATTCTCAGCACAACATATGGTCCCCTGAGCACCTCCAAGGATCACTATAGAGCACAGAGCCAAATTATTTCTGAATTTTTTTTATTGTATTTCACAAAAGAAATAAATCATGGATAAAAATAAAATAAAAATTATGTGTTCTAGGACCAAAGTACAGCAGGTATGGCAATTTCCTTGCATGCAGCTGACCCTGGTTTAATCCCTGGAATTCCATATGGCCCCCTAGGCACCACCAGGAGTGATTCCTGAATGCAGAGCCAGGTGTGGCCCATTAAAAAAAAAAAAGTTTGTTTATTTTCTAATTTTAAGATCATCGATAGCACAGTGGTAGGGCGTTTGCCTTGCACGCAGCCAACATGGCCGACCCGGGTTCGATTCCTTCGCCCCTCTCGGAGAGCCCGGCAAGCTACCGAGAGTATCTCGCCCGCCCGGCAGAGCCTGGCAAGCTCCCCGTGATGTATTTGATATGCCAGACACAGTAACAACAAAGTCTCCAATGGAGACGTTACTGGGCCCGCTCGAGCACATCGATGAACAACGGGAGGGCCTTTACTTTACTTACTTACATAATAAAACTTTAAAAAAAATTCCTCAAGTTGTTCTTCTTGATTACTGTCACATCAAAACATGAATAAATTCACATATTATGTATACCTTTTAAAAAATAAATAAATTCATATGAGTTCCAAGTAGTGCCCCTGAAACAGGCTACTGAAAGAAACCTCAGAATAGTCTATTCTTGGGTAAAAATGTCTTTACTCTCCTCCTTTCCCACACCTCAGCTGCACTCCACAAAAGAATTTTATTAGTTGCAATTTTATTTGCAGCTATTTTCAGTAAATTTTTGTCATTACAAAAGCAGTAAGTTCTCTTACAGAAAGTTAGAAAATACAGACCAAAATGAAAATTAAGGTGTGGCTATAGCTTTCAGTCAGAACACATGTCTCTCAATGTAGTGATGTTACCGGCACAAAACAAAACAAACATGCTAACTCCACCCTCGGCCCCTGGACACAGGACAAAAAAGAGTATCACATTCTTGCCACTCAGTTGCTCTAATTTTTTTGTGCTGTTCTTTTAGATGCCTTGCTAAGCTTATATATATACATGTGCCTACTGTTTAAGCCAAAAATAAATGTTTGGCCCATGCCCAGCCGTGTTCAGGGCTTCTCCTGGCTCTCTTAGGGATCACTCCCAGCTGGGATCGGAGGGACCATATGTAGTGCCAGGGATTGAGCCCAGGAAAGCACCCTGCCTGTTGGACTATTGCTCCAGTCCCCAAAACTGTACTTTATAATTCACATTAAATTGAATTTACTCATGCAGTCAGTGATTTCCATTTGCTAGTTTCAACACATTTTCATTTCATCTAATTCCTAGACTATTTTCAGATTTCTCTAACACTGTTTTTTCTCTCTGCTTTGGAAACCAGTATTTAATCTGTTGACCATTATACTGAATGTTAAGGCACTTAAGTCTCCTTTAGCTAGATTGCCCTCGTCTCTTTGTTTTTTGGTGGGTGAGGCATGGTTTGAGCCACACCAGGTGGGGCTCAGAAGCTTTATGCTTTGTGCTTAGGATTCACCTTGTGCGGTGCCAGAAATCAAGCCATAAGTCAGCTGTGTGCTAATAAGCAAGTGCTTTATTTGAGGGGGGTGGGGGGCTAGGTCACACCCAGTGATGCTCAGGGTTTATTCCTGGCTCTGCAGTCAGGAATTACTTCTGGCAGCGCTTCAGAGATTGGGATGCCGGGGATCGAACCTGGGTCAGCCACGTGCAAGGCAAATGCCTCCCCACTGGTACTATCACTCTGGCCCTAGGAAAGCACCTTAACTCCTAGTCTCTCCTGGGCCCCTTTCTCTTTGGAGGCTTTTGTTTGTTTTCAGTTTAATATTAGCTGGCTTAAAAGGGGCCAAAAAGATAGTACAGCGGGTAAGACATTTGCCTTGCATACTGCCAACCTGGGTTTGATCCCAGAGTCTCTGTAGGACACCAAGCACTGCCAGGAGTGGTTCCCAAGTACAGAGCCAGGAGTAACCCTTGAGCATAGCTACGTGTGCCTCTACCCACACACACAAAAAGGACCTTTAAAAGCTGTTTTAAACGTTCTTAAAGTTTTGGAAACCACCAGTTGTCCCAGGACATTGCAGCATTTTGACCTCTGGACTTGTCTCTTTGTTTCCTTTAAGTGGTATTTAATATGCTTCTCTATGACCCTTGTTTCCCATCAGCTGGAAATCATATCTTAAGATTTGTTGATTAGGTATAACATTTTAGCTAGAATATATCATCTTAAAAGACCAATGGCATGTGGTTTATTCTGTCAATGATGGTGCTAAGATTAACCATTGATGAGAGACTAACTTATTCCATTATATACTGAAAGTTTTTCACTCAGGTAACTGGAGCAATGGTACATCAGGTAGAGCGCTTGCCTTGGACAACCAGCCTATCTTGATCCCCGGCATCCCATATGGTACCCAAAAAACACCAAGAGTAAATTCCTAAGTGCAGAGCCAGGAGTAACTCCTGAGCATCACTGGATTTACTCCCGCCCTCCCAAAGTATTTTTCACTCAAACTAAAAAGTAAAATAGGTGTTTTTTCCTTGGAATGATATAACTATCCAATTTCTCAGCAAATGCACCCAAATTTTTGCCACCTTTTAAGAATGATTAAAAATGTAGATTTTAATTTATTTTGATTTATTGCTGCTCAATTCTTCTGAGAACCATAGAATTGAGTTCATTAGTGATTAGCTTCTAACCATTAGAGATTTGGTCTAAAAGTAATATCTGTATCATTGTAACTTTCCTTTATATACATGTATATGTATGTGTGAGTATGTGTGTATATAAGTTTGTTTTTCTTTAATTGATTCACTGTGAGGTACAGAGTTAAAAAGTTGTTCGTGATTGGGTTTCATTCATATAATATTCCAGCACTTGTCCCTTCACCAGTACATATCCCACCAGCAATCTATCAGTGTCCCCAGTTTCCTTCCCCTACCTGCCTTTATCGCAGGCAGTTTTCTTTTCCTGCTTGTGCTCTCTCTCTCTCTCTCTCTCTCTCACTCGCTCTTTCTCACTCTCTCTCCCCCTCCCTCCCCCCCCTTCGTTCCCTCCCCCCCCTTTCTCCTGCCTCCCTCTTTTGAGGATGTTATGGCTTGCAATACAGATACTGAAAGGTTATCATGTATATCCCTTTACCTACTTTCAACACTCAGTTTTTGTTCAGAGTGATCATTTCCAACTATTACTGTAATACTGATCCCTTCTCTATCCTAACTGCCCCCCCTTTTTTTCTAGCTTTTTGGGTCATACCTGGTGATGCTCAAGGGGTGTTACTCCTGGCTCTGCACTCAGAAATCACTCCTGGTGGTGCTTGAGAGACCATGTGGGATGCTGGGGATCGAACCTGGCTTGACCATGTGCAAGGCAAATGCCCTACCCACTGTACTGTTGCTCAGGCCCCCCTTAATTGCCCTTTGGCCTGCACACACTAGTGGCAAGCTTCCAGCCTTTGGTTCCAACCATTCCAACTTCCTGGCCCCTGTTTTTCCTGGCCTTGGATATTAGTCTCATACTTAACTTTATGTATATATCTATGTCCCACAAATGAGTGCGGTCATTCTCTGTTCTTCGCCTTCTAATTTTATTCTATATGTAACATTCTGGGGAAATAGCAAAGTTTGGATTACAGTTTTGTGTTTGTTTTGAGTTACATTTAAGACTCAGTTGTCTTGTCCTGCAGCTCACCTGCTGGGAAGACCTGGGTCACTAGGAATTCTCCCACTCTGTGCTAAGCACCAAACTGCTTACTTCTCACATCAGAAGCCAGTGTAGCAACATGGTACTTACAGGGCACCTGGAGGACCTCTAGGCGTCTCATATTCCCTTTCTCTGAGTCCTTGCTGCTGCCTACATCCTGTTTCAGCAGCTCATCCCAGTTCCACTGCCCTGGGCCTGGGTCTGGGCAAGGTGCGGGCAATGTGTGACCCATGGGCCTGCGACAGGTCCTCCTGAGCTGAAGATTTTCTCTCCTGGAATTCCCCCTCGAGGGCCAAGGAGACCTGAAGTCACATGGCATACAAGGTCTAGTGCCAGATCCACCTTGTTCTTTGTTAAGATAATTTTGATAGTTTCACCTGCAATAAGGGGAACTTCAGTCGGTGGAGTGTTGTTATGATTTTGACGTTGAATTTCTGCTTAGTAACATTTTAAAAGTATGCCCAGATCGAAGCTTCTGGCTTTAATTAAAGCCCTGAGCTGTGCACTCGTACCTGAGAATCATTATTGCACACTTAGTCCTGTGAACATGCTTAAGTCAGGCTGCGTCTGCATAAGAGATTGGGTGTCTGCCACAGGAGGCACATGATAGGCATTGCCCCGTGTGCCAATAACTGGCATCTTGAGAGTAGACTTCCCCCCATTTCCTACAGTAAAGTCATGATGACTACTTTTCTTTCTTCTTTTTTTGATCAATAGGAAACCGAAAAGAGAAGAGCACCTGAGTGAAGAAGCCATCAAGGTGATCGCTAGCCTTCCTGACTTAACGTTCATGCATGCCAAGGTGTTGATGTTCCCAGCCACGCTAACGCCTGCTACCAACTCCCAAGAGAAAGCTGACTGATAACTGATATGAACTGGACAGTTTCCATCGCTTTTCCTTCCCTCTGTACCTTCCCTTTCACCAAAAGCATACCTGCTCTAATTAAAAAACAAAAATCCAAATTCAGCTGATTTGTTGGTAAGCCTCACTAGAGTGGTATACATAGTAATGTATATTTATTTACATACTGAAGTCCTAAATTTATATTAGAAAAAATTGTAAATAATTGGGGGTGAACATTTTTGAAGATTTATTCTTTTTGTGTTGCTGGGGTGTATACATTTATGTCTTTGTGAAATACACTGGTGGTGTCCTTCTTACAAAACTTTTGAAATAAAAAAAAAAAGAAAATTAAAAATTCAAATCTCCACTGTCTGTGAAATCCCCCTTCAGTCTTTTCAGAATACGATAAATGTACAATTAATTTTTCATGTCGTATGTAGAAATATTTTTGCTGTCACAAACAAATAAGCTTCAAAGTCCCCATAGAAACTCCTTATTAATTTGATGTGTGGTGGGTTTGTTTCAGATCTGGCTTTTGTTAACATTTTTGTGCTCCTTTTTAATCTTTTCAATCTGGCTTATTGCTGTTTGACCTTTTGCAAGGTACTTCATCAGTTGCTCTTCTGTTCTAGGGTATGGATCATTGTCAAACTTGATTGGAGGGGTTTAAAGGGATGTGTTTTATTTTCAATCAGTTTGGTTTGGAGAAGGACCAAATTACATGGATGTCTTACAATAAAATTTACTTGTTACTGATTTTTTGTTCTCTTGTACCACTATTTTTTGAGGATTTTGCACAGTGTAAAATGACATAATCATAGATTGCTATGGTTTAGGCTGTATATACAGTAAAAACTATGGGTTTTAAATGTTTGGGGAAATTCCTATGGAAAAAAAGAGACATGTAGAAGAACCTCTAACAAGGTTAATGTGCATGCCTAAGGTCCTTTGAGATTTCAGTGTGTAAATTTCCTTTTAGCTTACACAAAAATAAAATAATTTAAAAGAAATTTAGTCAATGTCTCTCCATACTTTGATATCTGAGGAAATATGTAATGGGTGAAAGTTTTGTTTTAATGTATTTCAGTCCAAAGAAAATCATTTGGTAGGCTTCTACTTTGTTGAAATCAGGAAGAAATCAGGAATCCAGCCCATAAGAATTGGATCAGTATTTTTAGTAGCTATAGTAACTGATAGTAGACCATGAGTTAAAAGAAAGTTCGTTATTACATATCTTTCTCAGAATTGGCATAATTAAGTAGGAGTTTATAGGGAATTGCTTTTCTTTCCAAGAACATATATCATATGAAATTAACTTGTAGAAAATGACCAAAATTTTTTAACTACCATTTATTGGCAGTTGCTTTAGCAGAAAAGTTATGTGACATTTCATTAGAAACAGGCAATCAGCCCAGCAGTGGTGCCCCTCATCTGCTCTAAGAATGTCCCAGTAAGGCCCATTTGCACCTCAGACACTGATTCCTATTCTGTAGGTTCTTACACAGGACATTGGAACAGTTGCCTGAGGAGAATTTACCTATGACCTGGAATGACAGAGCTGACCCTCCAGTCTTTCCTACCATTTCCCCATTTGTGGGGCTAGAGAGGTAGTACAAGGGTTTAAGCATTTGCCTTGCACACAGCTGACTCCTGTTCAATCCCCAGCACCACATATGTCCTTTAGCAGCACCGGGAGTGATCCCTGAACACAGCCCAGTGTGGCCCCAAAACAAATAAAACTCCTCAACTTTTGGATTGTTGTCTTTTGCAAGAATCTTTCTTGCAAACTAGTCACAAATCTGGATTGCCCATTCCCCATGAATGGAAGGGGAAACGGATTCTCAACAGAACTTTACATGTGCCAGTAATTGGAATTTAAAGAGTTGCTTCCATAGTACATTACAACTAAATTATAATACCAGCCTACATTCAGAGCACAGTCACTAGTTTTGTGTGACCATGAGAATGTTGAGCAATATTTGTGAACATTCACTATAGCTTATATCATATTTTTAAAATGGAAATTTTATCTATTTTATGGGACTGATAAATGATAAAGTGTATAACTTGTTGTATGAGGACAGAGTGATAGCTAGAGCATAGCAAAATCTGCGTAGGCCTCTAGAGTCCCGTATATTCAAGAAGCAGACACAGGGGAAAAGGTCCTATATAGTACATTACTGTTTTAAAATACTATTTTAAAGCAGTCAATAAGGTGGGGCCAGAAACAGTACTATAGGTAGGGTGTTTGCTTTATGAGTAGCCAAACTAGTCTCATTCCCAGCATCCCATAGGGTTCCCCAAGCACCACCAAGAGAAATTCCTTAGTACAGAGCCAAGAGTAACCCTGAACATTGCTGGGGATGGCTCCAAAACAAGAAGCAAGTAGAGCTTGGGAGAGAACTCGGTAAATACATGCCTAGCACATGTGAAACTCTGTGTTCAATCCCCAGCACCATATGACACCCTGAGCATCACCAGGTATAGCTCCCCACTCACTCCCAAAAAAATGGTTTGGGGGATGCCACATTCAGCAGTGCCAGGGCTACTTCTAGTTTGGTGCTCAGGGTTCCCAGCAGTGCTGGGAAGCAAATCAGGATCAGCCACACGCCAGGCAAGGCGATCTCTAACCCCCACAAAGAAATGTTTTTAAAAGTAGATCTTTCAGCACTGGAGGGTTTTTACAGAGTTGCAAGCCTTTGTCTTGCGTGCAACTGGCCCCAATTTGATCTCCAGAACTGCCAGAAGTGAGCTCCATACGCCAATGAGTGTATCCCCTTGTGCCCACCCTCCCCCCAAAATAGACCTTCTTAGTGAATGTGACTACTTTTTTGATACAGAGCAGATTATTTTTTTTTATCTTATAGGCAATTTTAGATCAGCGTTTTCTTTTATATTGGACTTTCACCAGGTGCATTCATGTTGAACTCTCATAGGTTGAAGGTAGGACTTTAGCCTAGAAGCTCAAAGTACTCAACTTTGCACTAGACCAAAACTGACTGCACCTGAGAGCAGTGGCAGTAACTGGTCTGGGAAGCACCTGTCACAGGCGGCTAAGGTAGTTTTGGTCATTTCTGCTTCTTGCAGAAGCTGCTCTGTTGTCTTCCAACCAGGAGAACATGAGGAGCAAAAGAAAGAGGGCAGAGGCATTCACCGCCAAATCTCACAAGAGAGTGGGTTGGCCATCAGCTGTGTGTCCTTGACATCTTAAAATCAGCCCTTCACTCCTGAGTTTCACCTCACTTGATGTCCCAATCCAAGTAGCCATACCTAATTCCCCCACTAATCCAGACCAGTACAGGAAGTTTAGAAGAAACTTTTCTACACTGAGTCATGTGTCACTACTGTTTTTATGAATCATTTTTTTAACATAGAGATTTGTAATCTTCCCTCTACACAGTAATCGTGTTCTTTATTTGGAACGTGTCATCCTTTTATTCCCTCATGTTTCTTGAATTGGTTAGGATTAGGCTTGGCTGTGAGTAACAAAAACCCAAAATACTGCATTGCATGGAATAAGACTCATACTTTTGTCACATTTGAACTTCTCTGAAATTGCAATGTGTCATACAATTGCATGATATCTGTCAGTGGTTTCTTTTATCCTGGTGCTATAGAAAATAATGTTGCCTTATACTCGGTGATAGAATCAACAAAAATGGTCACGATGGTTTAAACAATAGAAGTTTGTTTCTCTCACCTATAAAATTTAAGGAAAGTAGTCTGGGCCTAACTGCGAGACTTAAGATCTTCAGATACACTTATTACAGCCAAGGCATCCACTTGCCACCTCCATGGCCTCAAGACATTGTGCCATCATGGGAGGAAGGGTGAAGGAGGGCATTCTCCCTGCCTATACGGACACTTTCAGGGAGAAAGACACAGTATGTTTAACTGCAACCTATTGTGGGCCAGAATTTAGTTGTAGTATCATCTCTAACTGCACCAGAGATTGAGTAATACTTAGCAATCATCTAAAGGGAGTTTTCGTAGGAAGGAAGAACAGATAATGTAGGATAACCTGGGCCATGTTGATTTTTTACTTAAACAGTGTGTCATTATGCAAGTGGTGATACAAAGGGAAATGAAATTCAGGGTCATTGTCTTAGGCTGCAACAATGAATTCAACTGGCTCTGTTGCCTTCATGGTATTTTTCCAAGTTTTTCAAGGGAGAAAGAATTTATGGAGGATAGAACAGGATTGTTGAGACCTTGGGGGAATAAATGCTGAAGCCCATCTGGTGAGAGTGGGGAGCAGTCTGGTGGTCCATGGGGCACAGGAGTTGTGTGTTATAACTGCTGCTACTGAGCAGTAAGAGCATGTATGAGTACTTTTTTTAAGTCTTACTTCTTTCATAAAATTAGGATAGAAAAAATCTTTAGGCCCAGATTCTCCCTTGAACACATATATATGTCCCTTGCTTGTCTGTTTCTTTGCTTATTTCCACCCTATCCTTTTTTGAATACATATTTCTCGTTTCTCTCCTCTCACATCCTTCTAGTTTCTAAGTTCTATTCAATAAAAAACTGTCTTGCTTCACTGAAAAAAAAGGGGGTTAGAATCTTAAAATAGAAAACTAAGGAGGAACCTAGAGAACCCTAGAATTATCAGTCCTGGAAGATGGGCTAGTTGACCCCGTTTTAGGCAAGCCTGAATCCCAAGAGTCCCACTGCAGCCTTCTGGGGTGACTTGGCCCCTGGATTGTGGTGGGTGTGTCCATTAGTGAGACTCTGGGCTTGCAACCTCAGGGGCAGGGTGTAATTACCAAGTGTAATCCCATTTCCACTCAAGAAGTTGAAGCCTAGATAAGGAAGTCGACTGACACCACAGTGCACAGCTAGATCCAGAAGCAGGGCCTGAGCCTATGTGCCCAACTCTGAGCCTTTTCACCTACATCCTCTTGGATCTCTTGCTCTGACTACTGACCAGACCGGCCTTTGCGTGAACATTCACGGAGACTGCCCATGGATTCAGACTCTCAGAAGACAGCCCAGGGGTGTGTGCTTTGTTAGTCAACATGGATAGAGACTTCTATTGAGTAAAAAACGATTACCGGGAATCTCTTGTTAGTTAAGTTTTTCTGATGCCTTTCCATTAAATGTCTGAAGTCCCGGTCATATTCCCTGTTACCTCGTTCCCTGGCCTTGTTTCCAGTCTTACCATGTACATAATTCTCTAGACAAGGTGTCCGCTTGCCACAGTTCTTCAAAAATGTACTCTTTAGACTGGATATGTTGCCACATCATTTCATTTCATTTTTCATTTCATCATCCTGTTATTCGTCGATTGCCTCGAGCAGGCCCCAGTAACGTCTCTTTCATCCTAGCCCTGAGATTATATTCAAGGCTCTTTAGGAGAATGAGACCCATCATTGTTACTGGTATTTGGCATATTTGGTAGGCCACGGGGAGTTTGCCAGACTCTGCCCTGTGGGCAGGCTACATTCGATAGCCTGCAAGTTTGTCCAAAGTAGGAATGAGATAATAAGATGTCATAAAGAGATGTCCTGATAAGACATCAAGTGGCCGGATTTTATAATCTCTGAGTCTTGGCCATCGCGCGGCCGGATTTTATAATCTCTGAGTCTTGGCCGTTGATGGGATTACACGGCGCCAGGGGGCCAGGTGGTGGGTGTGACCCCTGCCTACTGGGATTTGGAGGATCTGGGTGGAAGATGCTCGACTCCAGTCCGAGTAGGCTTGGAGATCTCGGCCCCGGAACCCGTGTGGCTTTGTCCCTCTGCCAGTACCTTCAG